GTGTGGCTAGGGTTTCATTTGAATTCTACCTACCACTCCCTACCCCACAACTTCCAGAGGGAGCATCACCCTCTGTCTACCCTAAGGGCTGGTCCCGGGACACAGCAGCCTTGATTGGGAGAAGTCTTCTGTGGTAGGCAGAATAACGGCCCTTCCCCTGCCCCCAGATGTCCATATTCTCATCCCTGGGAATCTGCTGTTACATGACAAGGGAAAATTAAGGTTGCAGATGGTATTAAATTTGCTAACTAGCTGACCTTAAAATAGGAGATTATCCTGGATTATCCAGTGTAATCAGAAGGGTACTTAAATGTGGAAGAGAAAGGCAGGAGAGTCAGAGTGATCCAATGTGAAAAAGACTTGGCCAGTCATTGCTGGCTTTGAAGATTGGAAGGGTTAAGAGCCAAGGAGTGCAGGCAGTCTCTGGAAGCTGGCAAAAGCAAGAAAACAGATTCTGCACTACAGTCTCCAGAAAGGAACGCAGTCCTGCCAACACCTTGATTTTAGCCAGCGAGATCCATTTCAGACTTCTGACTTACAGAACTGAAAGATAATAAAGTTGTATTGTTTTAAACTACATAGTTTGTGGTAATTTGTTACAGCACCAATAGGAAACCAATACACCTCCCCACTCCTGTTTATAACTTTGGCCTTCCCCTAAAATCCCAGCACTTGAGAAGTGTCCAAGGCCACCCATAGGCTGACCTCACCACAGCCTGGAATTTAGTGATGGGCCCCATGGGACTGGCCAGTTTTCCCACTTGTTCCTGCTCCCCCAGAGGCATCCGGGCACACCTGGGTAACTGTGGAGTGGTGTGGGGAGTGTATAAGACCAAGGTCAAGTTGAGCTTGGGAAGGTGAGGAGCCTACATTTTCATTTTGGTCCCTACACGATTGCTGAAGACCTACTGGTCTGGGGAGGCAGTTTTCAGGCAAAATGAGAAAAATAAAGACCAAGCTGTGAGTTTCTCAGCATTTTTTCACCCTGATTCTGATAACAGCCCGAATCCTTTTGGGTCTCTCAGCTTACCTATTCTCAGTAAAGTGATTCTGGGGAAATTGACTATTCCATCCTAAATTTCAAGTGATTTAGGGCTAAACCAGTCAGCACTGCCATCCATCTGGCCATAGTGACTGGTTTGGACTAGCCATGTGACCCAATTTGGGCCTATGCTAGCCAAGTCCAGGAGTTTTTTCTCTTGTCGGTTGAAAGGAAATGCTTTCTTTCCCCGGGACGGAAATCTGAATGTTTGAAGTCTGGGTTGTGAGGGGAAGGCCTGACTGAGCATGGAGCCACAGAAGAAGTGCAGCCAAAGGTCAGAGAAAAGAATTGGGTCCTGATGACATCGTCTCAGTCCGGGGCTTTAAAGTGACCCAAGTGGGTTGGCCAGTTAGCTCAGTTGGTTAGCACGTGGTGCTGATAACATCAAGGTCCAGGGTTTGATGTTTGTACTGGCCAGATTCAAAAAAATAAAATTAAAGGGCCAGCCCGGTGGCGCACTGGAGAGTGTGCTGCTTGGGAGTGCGGCGGTGCTCCCGCCGAGGGTTCGGATCCTATGTGGAGACCGGTTCCCGCTCACTGGCTGAGCGTGGTGCGGGCGCAACACTGAGGGTTGCGATCCTGTTGCCGGTCAGTAAAAAAGACAAAAAGGAGAAAAAATAAATAAATTAATTAATTTAATTTAATTTAATTTAATTTAATTTAATTTAATTTAAAAAATAAAAATAAAAAATTTAAGAAGTGACACAACAGGTTGGCTGGTTAGCTCAGTTGATTAGAGCACCACTTTGTAAAATCAAGGTCAAGGGTTCAGATCCCAGTACTGGCCAGCCTCCAAAAAAAAAAAAAAAAAGAGTGACACAAGCCAATAAATTCCTTTTTCATTTAAGCTAATTTGAGTGGTTTTCTGTCACTTGCATCAACGATATGCCCCTGAGTAGGCCACCCCCGCTCAGTTTTTTATAATGAAAAATTTCAAAATACTACCTTTGTAGTTTTGATCAGGTAACCTTGTGATCAGAACAGAAGCTCACTTTTGGGCAAAGTGGAGGACAGATTGGAGAGAGAAAGGAGGTCCTCACATTAGCCCAGGAAAATTGACAACCAAACAGGAGGAAGGACGGAAAAGATAGGTGGGAGCGGGATTCACCTGGACTTTGTCCCACATGATTGCCTTGATGGAGGGGGTAGATAGAGGGTGGGTGCACATGTTTCTGGCTTAGCTGCCTAGGTGGGTAGTCAAGGAGGTCCTGGAGGTAGAAAACAGTAGAGGGGTATTGGAAGGTGAGGGAATGGTAAATTCAGGTGGGACATTCAGGGAGCTGTCCAGCAGACCATTTTACATTCAGGCAAAAAAAAAAAAAAAAAAAAAAAAGAGTGACACAAGCCAATAAATTCCTTTTTCATTTAAGCTAATTTGAGTGGTTTTCTGTCACTTGCATCAACGATATGCCCCTGAGTAGGCCACCCCCGCTCAGTTTTTTATAATGAAAAATTTCAAAATACTACCTTTGTAGTTTTGATCAGGTAACCTTGTGATCAGAACAGAAGCTCACTTTTGGGCAAAGTGGAGGACAGATTGGAGAGAGAAAGGAGGTCCTCACATTAGCCCAGGAAAATTGACAACCAAACAGGAGGAAGGACGGAAAAGATAGGTGGGAGCGGGATTCACCTGGACTTTGTCCCACATGATTGCCTTGATGGAGGGGGTAGATAGAGGGTGGGTGCACATGTTTCTGGCTTAGCTGCCTAGGTGGGTAGTCAAGGAGGTCCTGGAGGTAGAAAACAGTAGAGGGGTATTGGAAGGTGAGGGAATGGTAAATTCAGGTGGGACATTCAGGGAGCTGTCCAGCAGACCATTTTACATTCAGGCTGGAGATGGGAGGTGTGGGGGTAGTCATGAAGGGAAAGGTAGTAAGTGAAGTTACCAGAACAGCTGCTACCCTGTGCTTGTCTCTATCTGATCCATAACACACTGTTGACATAATGGCTGCCAACTTGTAAGGTTCCCACTTATGCCTCTTGCAGGTAGCAATCTTGTTTTTGAAGTCCCTTTTACTCCATATAGTCTATGGCCTGGCATGAACTAAAAGTCTGGGTGAATAAATGAAGAGTTTTGAAGATGGAAACTTGGGGGAACCTCCCTCCACCTTTAAAGGCCCTGGGAGAAGTACACCAGTGAAGGGCACTGGGGAGAAGTTGCTACAGAAGTAGGAGGAGAACATGGTGGAACCTGGATCAGAGAGGTAGGAAGCCAAGGGAGGAGAGAATTTCAAGAATAGAGAATGTGTATCTATCTGTCCCATGGTCCAGGGACTCCAATATGACTCAAGGAGTCAGGCAGGTGATATGACCTCCAGTTGCACCCCATGTCCCCTCCCAGTTAGCTCTGTGGTTGGCAACCAGGAAGAGACATCAGAGATAATCACAAGGTCCAGCCCTGGTGCTGACGTAAAATAGTAACCAGTTACATTGTCTCTAAAATCAGAATGCTGAGGCGCCTCAGAGTGTAACCATGGGGCTTTAAGTGCAACAGGAGGAGCCAAAGGCTTTCCTATTGGGTCACATCCAGTTCTGGCCCTTGCTAGCCCTACCCATTCCCCCACTTCCCCACTGGAAACCAGGGAGGGCTAAGTCAAGACTCAGGGTTTACTTTGAAATAAAAGCATATGCTGGCCAGAGATGGAAAGGCAGGGGGACTCCTTTAGTAAATTTATGGAGAGCCTAGTGTGCCAGACTCCACGCTGAAGGCTGGGTTTTCTGCCTTCTATTCTCACAGCCTGAAAAGCACAGATGCAGGTAAGGGGTGGGGATGGGGGAGAAATGGTCACCTCCCTTCTTTTCCGGAGGAGAGGTTTCAGCAATTGTTTAGGTCTAGAAGAGAGATGGTGTGTACATGTGTATGGCTTAAGGGGGACATAGGAAATGAGAAGAGGGTCTCAAGGGGAGGGATTGGAGAGAAGGAGCGAAATGAGACAGGCCGGTGGGAGACAGATGCTGGGGGTAAGGTTCATGGGATCCTGGGGGCTCCCCAGGAACTGATTACTAGGCTCCAGCCCCTGAACACCTGGCCCATTTGCTATGGGTGAACCCTTTGCCAGGTTGTCACAAAGGAATAAGGGGACAATATTCCTGTTGCAGGGAGTTTGCTGACAACAAAGGCATAAGGGTCAACGGTTCACAAAACTCCTTACACCTGTTTCTCATTTAATGCTCACAGAATCCCTGTAAGGCATAAGACAGTAGCTCACAAAAGGAGGGTCCCTTAGCAAAGAAATGGTAGAGCTGAGGGACTGAGTCCCAGGTCCTCCAGAAGCCAAAGGCCATGTTCCTTGCCCTGTATCCCAGATAGGGAAACTGGGCAGGTCTGGAATGTGTGCTGTTTGCCTAGAAAGCCATCCAGGCTTACAGGCCGATTGCATAAAGACATGGAACATCCTCCACAAACTAGACCAAACAAAACAGCTTGATTTTGAGGTCCTGGGCAGGGGTAGGAAGAGGAAAGGCCCTTGTTCTTGGGATCAAGAGAGCTGGGTTCCAGCTTGACTAGGCTTCTTGCTTGCTGTGTGAAAGTCACTGAATCTCTTTGAACCTCAATTTCCTCATCTGTAAAATGGGAATAATAGCACCTCTTCCCAGGTATGTTGTGAGGATTAACAAGAAAATGCATGTAAAATTCCTAACACAGTACAGGACATGTAGTGAGAGCTCAGTAATCCTAATATTTTATTATTACTGTTATTAATAAGAGGAGGTTGGGCTGCATGGTTGAAAGTTCAGGGCCTGGTTGCTGTGGTCTGAGCTCTGGTGCCCACAGCTCAAGCGGAGCCTATCCACCCTTGAGGGGCTTACAACCCAGCGTCAGGGAATCCTGGATCGTGCAGCTGCCACCTCCATATCTGCCTCAGCTGTGCATCCAGTCAGATCACAAGGCTGGAAGGAAGGTGCCGAGCTCTCTTCATTCTCCGAATTAGTGCTAAGCAAGGACGGGGGAGCAGGAAGAGGAGCGCTCAGAAAAGCACTTGATTTGAACTGAAATGACCTTAAGCTTTCGTGCAGGTGAGAGAGAAGGGTGAGCGGTCAGGAATCCGGGCAACCTGCCTCCTACTTGCTGTGTCTACTCTCTTTTTGGTCCCTAAGGGCAAGCGCCCATGACAGACATGGCGGCTGCAGCCTCGGGCGCGGTCACCTGCCGGAGCCGCGGTCCCGGAGCCGCGCGGAGCCAATGGCTGGGCGGGGGCGGAGGGAGAAGCCGGCGGAGCCCGGCGGCGTGTGCGCAGGCGTACTGGCTTGCACCTGGCTCCCGGCAGCCGCGGCGTTAGGCTTCGCCTAGCACGATTGCGGTGAGAGGCTGGCCCGCGGCCGGGGCTCGGGGGCAGGAGCGGGCCGGACTGGGGGCCGATCTGACACAAAGCACAGGCCCAAGGGGGACGGGAATGCCTCCCGCTCGGGGAGTCATGGGGGCTTTCTGCTGGGGTCCTTGAGGCGATCAGGTTGTGGACTGGGAGAGTTCTGGGGACAGGGCGGGAGAAGCTGGGCTTAAGGGACAAGGGCGGAATCCTTGCAGAAGGGCTCTCTGGGGGTCTGGGGGAAGGGGATGGATGCAATGGGTCAGATAGCTCCCTGGGGGTCTGGGGTCCATTCCATTAACATAATGGCTCTTAACCCTGGTGGCGCAGTACAACCACTTGGGGAGCATTTAAAAACCACCAGCGCCGCGCCCATCCCGAGAGGTTCCGATTTCATTGGTTGGGGGTGAGGGCTGGGCCTCGGTATTACTGAACAGCTCCTCGGTTGATTTTAATGTGCAGACGGGCTGGAGAACCACTACACATGTTGCAGCGTCAGCTATGGAGTAGAGAGCTCCTGGGTTGATCCCCAACTCCTCAGTGCCTTGGGGGGGGGGTGGTCGTGGGGTGAGGCTTCTGCCCCTCCAGGCTGCTGCAGTAACTGGGGGACACAGAGGGAGAAGGTCCTTCCGCAGTAAGATGGAAGCTCATTTCCAGCCTGAGAGGGGGCGATGGGCCCATTAGTATTTGAGATTCAGCCTCCTGTGGGGAGACTCGGCAAGGAGACAGGACTCCGGAGTGTGAAATAAGAAACAGAGCAAGCAATTCAGAGGACACCTGCTTGTTGAGAAAAGAACACGCCTAATATTTGCATTGGGTGTTACACCTTTGTTTCATTTGTTTATTTGATACCTGGGAATGGGTTTGTTCGCCCCGCTTCACAGGTGTGGGAATAAACCCAGAGAGCTAGTTGGTGATAATGTTCAGAGCTGACCAAGGGCTCCTAACTCCAAATTATGCTTATTAGTAACTTTTCCCCTCTGCATTAACTGCTTCTCATAGTCTCTAGTACTTCTGAAGGGAATCAGAGGCAAACACCCACCTTCCTTCTTATGCCCCTCGCTCCAGGGGTCCAGTCTGGCATTCTTGGTTTTCTTCACCAAATCCATCAGCCCCCCCACTCACCATGGGTTGGTTCAGAAATCAGGGAGATGCTGGTGTTTTCATGCCTTTCTAGTTCTTTATCTCCCAGGAGCTTGATGAGATGATGGGAGAGAGTTTTTACAGGACGCCAGAGGGCTCCTTCCCAACAGATCTGTTCGGTCACCTCCCTACCCCCAGTGCCCTTCATCCCATTGTCCTCTGCATGGAATCTTGTGCAAGGTTCATAAAACTCTTCCTCATCTGGCCTCTTTGTCCCTTCCTGCTCTGAGCTCTCTTGCCACATTGTTTCTGTTTTTCTTAGCACAGTGCTGTGCACTGTGTGAAAGCTTAATAAATGTTATTCTTTGTATACCTGTTGCTTTGCTTTACATGGTTACTCTGAGGGGCACATCAGGCTTCCCAGGTTGCCTCTTTTTCTGTGACTCCCGCAGTTAAGCAGAACACAGAGCTTGGGGCACAGTGGGATCTGGGGGTGGTAATTACCTATGGCTGCTGCTGCTGCTGCTGCTCCCTAGGGCTAAGGATGCCCATATTGGCCTTTTAGGGGCAATTGACCCAGCAAGTATTGATTGAGCACCTACTGAATGGTGAAGGAGCCTGCTGGGGGCAGGGGCAGAAATCAGGGGTGGGGCTAACTTGGCCCTGCCTTTAAGGAGCTTGTGGGCTGGAGGAGGAGGGTAAGGGAGGTATTTGGATGCCTGACTCAGAGGCCAAGGGACCCAAAAAGGGGAGAGAACACTTGATTGGGTGTACTTGGGAAGGCTTTGTGACACTGAACTGGGCTAGAATGAGCAGGATTTGATAAGATTGTGAGGGGGCGGGCATGGTGAAGTGAAACATGCTGAGACTTTTTTTAGTCAGAACTTGCTTTGAATTTTGGCTCCAGCACTTAATAGCTTTGTGACTTTGGGCCAGTTATTTAACCTTCAGAGCCTTGGTTTGTTCATCTATAAAATGTGGATGGAGGGGCCGGCCCGTGGCTCACTCGGGAGAGTGCGGTGCTGATAACACCAAGGCCCCGGGTTCAGATCCCTACATAGGGATGGCCGGTTCGCTCACTGGCTGAGCGTGGTGCTGACAACACCAAGTCAAGGGTTAAGATCCCCTTACCGGTCATCTTTAAAAAAAAAAAAAAAAAATGTGGATGGAAATAATAATAGAGCTATAAGGATTCATGGTGATGGGTGTAAAAGCTGGGCATACCCTGTATGCCTGAGATATGGTGTGTAGTTACATCTAGGGAATCTTATATGGAAGGAACAGCATGATCAAAAGTGCGGAGGTGACATTTAAAAAATAATTTGAGGGATGGCAGACAAGAAGAGCCTAGGATATTCCAGGCAGCGAGAGGCATCAGAGTTGGGAGCTGGAAAGACAAATACAATCATGGATTTGGCAGAGGGGTCACTGAGTGATCTTTAAAGATCATCAAACCAAACTTCATAGACACGAAAAAAATAATAACAGCTACTCTTTACTGAGGGTCTTCTACGTGCTAGGCACTATGCTTGTGCATATGCTTTTGCATTTCAGCCCCACAGCCATCCAGGAGGTCGGCATTAACATCCCCACTTTATAGATAAGGTTTAGGGAGAGGGAGTGGCTGGCTCAAGGCCACCAACTGGGACCATACCACAGTGGGGGGATGGGCCACAGGGGCCTCCAGCAGGCTCTGTGCAAGGTGCCAGGGGGGCAGGTGAAGTTGGTTGCAGGTTACAGGATATCTCACCCAGCTTATGCAACTAGGCTGGTGTGGGCTGAGCTGTTCTTCCCTTGACAGGCTGGGCCTTGTTCTTCAGAGTGAGGGTGTGGGGGTGGGGGCAGTGGGTAAGGCTGTTTCCTGATGGAGAAGGTGCTAAAGAGTAACCTTGCACTCTCCTCCCCCAGCTTCCTCTCCAAGGCAGTGTTTCACCTGGACAGGTTGCTTTGCCTCCAGCTCAGGTCTGTGGCAGGAGTTTGTCTCTGGCAATCCCAAGCATCATATATGTTCTTGCTCGTTGACTTTCCCTCCTGTGTGCCATCTTTTTTCTTGAACTCCCTTACCCAGGGATATTTCCCTGCTCCTACCCTGATCTATTATAAGTGAGCCCAACAAAAAGCCAGTTTCTGAGCATCTTGCATGTGATAGGCATGGTGTTCTGGGCTTCCTGGATATTAGTTTAATCCTTTCTGTGCTCCCCCAAACTAGGCATTATTAACCTATTTTACAGATAAGGAAACCAAGGCTCAGAAGAGTTAAATGACTTGCCTGAGGTTATAGTCTTAGTAGGAAATACGATTGGGATTTGGACCCAGGCCCTTCTGATGGCAAAAGTCATATCCTTTTCGTCCATCTCACCACCCTTTGAAGTTTTCTTCTACCCTTGTCCCAGTGTTGGTGCAGGGAGCCAGCTGGTGGAGGCTGGGGACCATATGTACAGGGTTCACCTTCTCTAGCAACAAGGGCAGGTCACTGGGCATCTGTGTAAGGATTGGGAGGCTTCACTTTTAACAAAGCCTTTGGAGTTGAGGTGGGTGACCTCTGAAAGGCCCTGGGGGAATCGGAGAAAGTGACCTGAGTTAAGGATAGTCACAGAGGTTTACATTATGCTTTACAGCCTGGAAGCCCCGTTAGAGGGTATCTCATTTAATTCTTACCCCGCCCCTGTGTGGCAGGTTGTGGGTCCTTTCTGTTTCATGGAAGGTCTGAGAGGCTCAATAGTAATCATCTCTAAAGCTTTAGTGCTCCCCGCACTTACTGTGCTCAGTCAGCACTTTGGAATGTTTTCTTATTGACTGCTGACAACAGCCTTATGACTGAGGTGCAGAGAGGTTCAGTAAGTCACTCCAGGTCACACAGATGGTACATGGTAGAGTCAGGACTTCTGAGACCTCCAGTTGTGTCTTCTTTCCACTGTGCTACTTAGAAAAGCAGAGCTGAAGAAACCAAGGGTGATGGATATGTGCCATTTCCTCAAATGTGGTGATGGTTTCACAGGCACATACATGCATTAAAACTTAGACTGTTGGGCCGGCCCGTGGCTCACTCGGGAGAGTGCGGTGCTGATAACACCAAGGCCCCGGGTTCGGATCCCATATAGGGATGGCCGGTTCGCTCACTGGCTGAGCGTGGTGCTGACAACACCAAGTCAAGGGTTAAGATCCCCTTACCGGTCATCTTTTAAAAAAAAAAAAAAAAAAAAAAACTTAGACTGTACATTTTTTTTTTAGCAGCTGGCCAGTACGGGCATCCAAATCCTTGACCTTGGTGTTACACCATGTTCTAACCAACTGAGTTAATGGGCCAGCCAGACTGTACATTTTGAATATGTGCAGCTTATTGTGTGTCAACTATACCTCAGTAAAGCTCTGAGAAAAGAAAAAAAGGAAAGAATTTTCTTCAGGGGCTCAAGGGCCTCAGGAAAAGGCTACTTGGCCATCCTCCTGCCTTGGAATGAGGTAGGATCACTGTGAGTGGGGGAAATTCGGGCCGGTTTAAGGGCTGATTTCAGGTGTTTTGGCCACTTCTTCATTCTGCCACCATTAGGCATAGAGGCACAAGGTGGTGGTGGTAGAGGGTTTTGCACATGGATGTCTTGAGTTAATGGCCACTCGCTCTCTGATGAGCCAGGGAGTCCTTCCTCGCTCTCCCCCCAGAGCCTCTCTCTACTGGTCATCCTTCCCCCAGCAAGAGCAGTCGAGTCTACCCATTCTCTCTGAGAGGGAGATAGAAGGCAAAGACATAGGCCCTGCCCTTGACATCCCCACGGTCAGGCTGGACAGTCAGGAGTGTCTGCTGTGCAGACAGAGCAAATGGTGTGCCTGGGTGGTGGAGCAGTGGGGCCTGAGGAGTTGAAGAAGCTCTCCTGGGCACAGTGCTGGCTCCTGAAAGATGGGGAGATGCAGCTGGGATGGGTGCTTCCCACGGGAGGAACCAGAGAAATGAAGGCCTGGGCAGAGGAAAGGGAGGATGGGCTGGGCAGGCTGGGCGGGGCTACATGACAGAGGCCTTGCAGCCTGGGTGGCTGGGCAGCGGGGGCCGTGACGGGTCATGGGCAAGGACAGGTCCATGGAGTCACTGCTGCTACTGTTGCACTGGGGTTGAGGAGAGACAAGCCTTGGTGGGTGGCTCTATGTGGCATGTGGGTGCAGAGACATGTGGATGAGCCCTGGGCAGGCTGGGGGTGAGGGTCACAGGAGCTCTCTGAGCAGCAGCCCTCTGTCTCCTAAGGCTTCCATAACAAACTACCACAAACTTGCCTTAACAGCTTACTCTCTCAGTTCTGGAGGGTGGAAGTTCGACATCAAGGCGTCAGCAGGGCCCGCTCCCTCTGGAGGCTCTGGGGAAGAACCCTTCCTTGCCTCTTCTACCTTCTGGTGCTGTGGGCAATCCTTGATGTTCCTTGGCTTATAGCTGCACTACTCCACTTTCTTTCTTTCCTGCCTTCCTTCTGTCTGTCCAACTCTCTTTCCTTCTTTCCTTCTTTTCTGGGCCACTGGCTGGTATGGGGATTCAACACTGCAATTTCTGCTTTCGTCCTCACGTGGTCATCTTCCTTTTGTGTCCAAATTTCCCTCTCCTTATAAGGACACAGTCATTAGGCCCACCCAAATTCAGAATGACCTCATCTTAACTTGGTTACATGTGCAAGACCCTATTTCCAAATATGGTCACATTCCCAGGTACTGGGGGTTAGCACTTGAATGTATCTTTTTGTGGACACAGTTCAACTAACCATAGAGAATTTGAGAGAAGGAAGCCCCCATAGATTCTTTCTAGGGATCAGACAAGCATACATGGAAATCATTTTTCTGAAAAGAGAACAGCTTTAAGTCTAAAAAAATAGACAGACATAATGCCTCACTGCTTAAAGTGTGGTCATGGGCCAGCAACATTGGTCTCACCAGGGAGCTTGTTAGAAATGCGGAATCTGGGGCTGCCCTGTGGCTCACTTGGGAGAGCGTGGTGCTGACAACACTAAGTCAAGGGTTAAGATCCCCTTACCGGTCATCTTTTAAAAAAAAGAGAGAGAAATGCAGAATCTCAGATTCCTCCCCATATCTAAGTCAGAATCTACACTTTAACAAAGTCCCCAGGTGACTCACGTACATATCACAGTTTGAGAAGTGCTTCTCTAATACAAATCTGACTTTTAGGCCCTTTCACACTCATGGTCAGTCTAGCTGTCAGTCTTTGTGCACGAGTCTGCTGTCCTTTGTTCTCTTTTCGGGTAACATGTTCTTGAGTTTCTCTCCCCACGTGTTGATGTTACCCATGTACAGACCTTTTCTGGAGAGCTTGCTGAGCCAGTCCCTTTGTTATGTTCTTGGCCTGTGACCAGCTTTTTGCTGTTTATAAATACTGCTGTAAACATCTCTGTACACGTTCCTTTGGGGTTAGTTCTTTGAGGTAGAATTTCCAGAATCAAAGTGCAGGATCAGGTGTGGACTCTTGTCAAAATCGTATCACTCTTATCAGCGAGCAGATCAACCTGATTTAGAAGATTAAGTGGCAGAAAAGGCTTTGGAGCCAGACAAGCCTGGATTCAAATCTGTTACTTTTTTGCTGTGTGACATTGATCAAATTACTTAACATCTCTGAGCTTGGGGTTGCTCTCCTATAACATTGTAATAGTGCTATAAACTTTGTAGGGATTCTGTAAAGATATTAATGACACCAGCAACATTAATTTATTGAGCACTTTCTCTGATTTACCTCATTTAATCCTTACATTCCTCTGCAGAGTAGGCATAACCATCCCCTTTACCTTTTATGGAAGAGAAAACTAGGGCTTGGGATGAATAGCTTGCCTGAGGTTATAAGTACATTGTGCACCCAAGCTCAGGGTAGCCATGTCCAGACCAGTAAGGTCATACAGTGCAGATGTAAGAGGATACTGAGCATCCAGCCCTAGCGGGCGACCTGGCTCAGCACTCACCGAATGCCTGCCTTCTCTTCGCACCAGCGTTATCAGGTTCATCGAGCTACTCTCACAGCAGTGGTATCAAGCTCAGCACTGTTTCAGCTGTACTTCATTGATGATTCCCCAGCTTTAAGTACAAACTCTCTCCCTGTAAAAATGAGTTTTTAAATGATTCAGAGGTCTGGGATGAAGAGCAGAGCTGGCTCTGATCCCTGCTGCTAACTGGCTTATTCTTCCCCAGGCACAAGGATGGTGAGACTGCCCATGGCCATGAGCCCTCCTCCGTGCTCCTGGGGCTGAGGCTGGGGCTGGCAGCCATGGGGCTGGGTCGGGCCCAGGCCTGGCTGTTGGATCTGCCCATGGCCGTGGTCTATGGCTCCCTGGCCCTCTTCACCTCCATCCTGCACAATGTGTTCCTGCTCTACTATGTGGACACCTTTGTCTCAGTGTACAAGATCAACAAAACGGCCTTCTGGGTTGGAGAGGTAGGGCCAGCTCAGGGTGGCCAGCCTGGGTGGGAAACTAGGGGACACATGGGCTGTCAGGCAGATTGCAGGGGCCAGGTCCCGCCCAGTTAGGGGAATGGGGCAGGCCAGGCTATCCGCCAAGACTCAGCAAGAAAAGCTGGTGGAGGCCATGCTGATGCCTCCTGGCCGGTACGGGGATCTGAACCTGTGACCTTGGTATTATAAGGCTGTGTTCTAACCAACTGAGCTAACTGGCCAGCCCCATGTATATTAATTTATCAGCTTGATACATTCACAGCTGGCCCTGGATGGGTGGGAGTTTTCTGGAGGCAGTGGCTGGCAGAGTGGGTTTAGCAGCGGAGCTGGCAAGAACAAAGGTTTCCAGGCAGGGAAGCTGGTGCCCTCTTTGAGTGGTGGTGAGCAGGCTGGAATGGGGGAAGCCCAGGAGGGGAGGCTGCTTGGAGCCCACCTGCCCATCTCTGCTCTGCTTGCAGACGGTGTTTCTCCTCTGGAACAGCCTCAATGACCCCCTCTTCGGCTGGATCAGTGACCGGCAGTTCCTCAGCTCCCAGCCCTGGTTTGTGTCTTGGGGACGGCTCATAACTAGTCCAGTCCCACCCCACCACTCCCCAGGGCTGGAGGACCCCTGCCTGTGTTTGGAGTGGGGAAAGAAAGGGAGACCATTTCAAGTGTTGTCTCTGCCCTTCCGTTCCTGGGGTCCAGGACAGGCTCTGTCCAGGTTGGAGTAGTGGCCTTGACTAAGCCTTGCCTTGCTCACCAGGGAAGAGATTTAGCCCCACTTGGCTTGTCTGGCCCCTAAGGATTCTGTGCTGCAAACACCCTCTGCTGCTTCTGGCATATTCCTTTACCCCATCCCTGCCCCCAACCTGAGAAGTGATGGCTCACCCTTTGGCCATCAGCCCTGACAGGCTGGTAACAGAGGAGATTGGGGCAGACCAGAGTGTGTACCTACTGGTGACTTGTGCTTCCTAAGTTGGAGGCTGGGGACTTGGGGCGCAGTGGGATCACCCTGGTGTGAGTGCCACACTCTGGCCTCCATCCCTGCCCTGGGGCCTGAGCAGGGGGGACTGGAGTCTTGTCAAGGCTGAAAGGGCATTTCCCAACAGCCCTCCTCTCCCTGGCAGCTCAGGCACCGGACTGTCTTCGAGGGCTGTGGTGCTAGCACGGGTACGGGCACTGGGATGGCATGGGCCGCTGCTGGCGCTGTCCTTCCTGGCATTTTGGGTTCCCTGGGCCCCAGCTGGTCTGCAGTTCTTGCTGTGCCTGTGCCTCTACGATGGCTTCCTGACACTCGTGGACCTGCACCATCATGCCTTGCTGGCCGACCTGGCTCTCTCGTCCCATGACCGCACCCACCTCAACTTCCACTGCTCCCTCTTCAGTGCCGCTGGCTCCCTCTCTGTCTTTGCCTCCTATGCCTTTTGGAACAAGGAAGACTTCTCCTCCTTCCGTGCCTTCTGCGTGGCACTGGCTGCCGGATCTGGGCTGGGCTTTCTGGGGGCCACGCAACTGCTGAGGCGGCAGGTTGAGGCGGCCAGGGGGGACCCAGGGTGCTCAGCCCTGGCCGTGGATGGAGGGTGAGTGGCCAGCCCTGACTGTCTGCCCGCTGCCAGCACTCTTCTGAGTATGATTTTGATGCTGGGTGCCCTGGCTGATGGGTGGCTGCCCTGGGGTGGGGATGACTCTGGCCCAGCCCCAGGCAGTTCTCAACCCCCCTCTGCCCCATAGCCTGTGTGGAAAGGAGCTGCTTGTGGGCAGCGAGGAAGCGGGCAGCATCACCTTGGGCCAATACCTCCAGCAGCTGGCACGCCACCGGAACTTTCTGTGGTTCGTGGGCATGGACCTGGTGCAGGTATGGAGAGCAGTCAGTCCCCCCGCACACCACCATGGCTGGGCTATTCTTTGCTCAAGGAGACAGGTTTCTCAAGAGCTGGGAACTCAGCTCTGGGCCACGCGTGAGGACTGCTAGGTGATTCGATGTCAGGAACGTAGGTTGGGTCGTTAGGAGACCTGGATTCTAGCGCCGTCTGAACTCTTCACCCCCCCATGTGACCTTAGGCAGGACTCAGCCTCTCTGGGCAGCCCTGTCCTCACCTATAAAGTGAGGACATGCAAGAGAGATGGTACTGAGGGCACCTGTAAGCTACTGACCTTGGTGATCACTGACCTGGTTGACGAGGACCTGGTGCTCAACCATCGCAAGCAGGCGGCCTCGGCGCTCCTCTTTGGCATGGTTGCCCTGGTGACCAAACCAGGCCAGACCTTTGCCCCGCTGCTGGGCACCTGGCTGCTCTGCTTCTACACAGGTGAGGGCCTGGGAGGCACAGCTTACCTGGCACAGAAGCTGACAAGCCTGGGCTCTGGGTCCAGTGAGGGAGAGAATGGCAACCAGGTAGGCTTGGGCTGCCCCACTCCTCACCATCCCCCAACATGGGTAGAGGAACCAGGTCTCAGATTCCTCCATTCTTTCATTAGTTCATTCATTCATTCAGCAAATATGAACAGAACACCTTCTGTGTGTAGGCATTGCTCTAGGTGCTAGGGAGATAACGAGTAAGACAGACAAGGTCTTTGCCATCACAGAGCTTATGTTCTAGTCAGGGGCAGGAAGTGGTTGGCAATAAACAGCCAAACAAGAAAATATCAGGCAGTGTTGTGGTGAAATGAAATGGGGAAATGTGAGACATGTGACTGAGAAGCGACTTAGTGCGGTCAGGGAAGGCCTCTCTGAGAACATGCCCCTTAGGATAAACTGAATGGCAAAAGTTTGGTCTAGAAAAGATCTCAGCAAATCGTAGGCAGGGGGAATGGCACATGCAGAGGCCCAGGGTATCAGGAGTGGTTAGGAGATGAGGCTGGAAAAGTGAATAGGCAGGTAGTAGGGTTTGGATTTGAATTTTATTTTCAGTGCAAAGGGAAGCTATTGGGAGTGTTTTCAGCAGGGAAGTGACATGGTCTGACTTACAATTTTAAAAGTTCACTCTGGCTGCTGTATGGAGAACAGATTGTATGGAGGCCAGAGTGGGAATAATAGGGAGATAATTGGGAGACTGGCAGAGGCTGTGGAAGCTTGGACAGGGGTGGTGGCTGGTGGGATATTTGGGAGTTGTGGGGACATGAAGGATTGGATGCTGGGGAGTAATAACGCTGAGGAACTGAGGGAGACTTTGAGGTTTGGGGCCTGAGTTACTGGGTGGATGGTGATGCCATTCACTGACAAGGGAAGAACAGGGGAACAGTGGGTTTAGGGGAGGAAGCAAGAGTTGTGGTTTGGACATATACTTGTGATGTTTGAGAATTCATACCACAAACTTTGGAGGGGACCAGGGCTTGAAGGGGAACTGGGCTGACTGTGTTTTTTCTATGCTCTTTTGTCCCAGGTCATGACCTCTTCCAGCACCCACCAATGATCCCTGTGGGGAGTGCCCGGCCCTGGCCCGAGCCCCCAGCCCCGGCCCCAGCACAGGCCCCAGCACTCCGCCAGGGCTGCTTCTACCTGCTGGTGCTGGTGCCCATCACCTGTGCTCTGCTGCAGCTCTTTACCTGGTCCCAGTTCACGTTGCATGGGAGACGCCTGAACATGGTCAAGGCCCAGCGCCAGAACTTGTCACAGGCTCAAAGCCTGAACGTTAAGATGGTGTGAGAGGGCAGCTAGGCCACCCTGCTGAAGATACTGCCCACAGCCAGGGCAGGGGCCACTTTTGCCTGCTGTTATCCTGCTCTTCCACCTTCCTCAGATGCAGTCTGGAGGACAGGTGGCAGGATTGGGGGTAAGCTCCTGGGGCTGAGCCAGGACTGTCACTGAGGTCTGAGTCCCTGCTTAGCTGTCTGGCCCAGCTTGGGCCAGGGCTGTCATATGTGCTCAGGGACCTGCTTCCCTTGTGGGGCAGGAGGGAAGAAGAGGACCAAGAAGGGATGGAGCCTCCTTGCAGTACACATAGGGTTGCTGTGGGGCATGGAGGCCTGTCCCACTGCCTGGCTAGGGCTGGCCACTCTGGTGGGCTCAGAAACCACTTCTGATACTGCAACTTCTCCCTTTTGCTCAGTCAGGAGAAGCTGACTGGAAGTCCCACCTGTCCCCTCCTTCTGCCTTCTAGTGGTTTCTCTAAGAGGGTTTTGCTTCAGCTGTGCTTGAAGTGGCATGCCCCCTCTGCTGCAGGGCTCCCCCTGCCCAACCCACCAGGCCTCTAAAGCGATTCATTTTGTAGACTGATTAAAGTCAGTCATTCGTATTCCTTAGGTCTGTGCTGTGTGTGTGAGAGTAGTGGGCTGGTGGGGCTGGGGGGAACTCATGAATAGGAAAAGCACCTTGAAAGCATTTTTTCTAAATATGAGTGTTGGACTACCTGCATAAGATCCACTGAGGTGCCAGGGGGGAAAAAATGGAGATTGGTAGCTGCAAGGAACTGGGGACCAAAATGACTTTCAGGCCTGCCGCCAGCAGCCACAGGGTACTTCCATGTACCATTGCTGGCCACAGTAGTTAAAGAGGAGTTTCTTTTAGGCCAAGGTTCTCAGCCTTGGAATCACCTGAGAGCTTTAAAAAATACTAATATCTGAGTTCTAGTCCCTAAGATTCTGACTTAATGGGCCTGGGGTGTGGCCTGGGCACTGAAATCTTGAAAAATCTCTATAGGTGACTTTATCATGCAAGTGGGATTGAAAACTACTAGAGACTTGTGGAGCCAGGTAATTCTTTGTTGGGGACATTTAGCATCTCTGCCCTCTACCTACTAGATGCCAGTAGCACCCTTCCCGCCAGTTGTGACAACCAAACATGTCTGCACATTGCTAGATGTGTCCTGGGAAGCAGCAAAATTGGTCCTGATTAGGAACCACTGCTCTAGTCCAATGGTTTCTGAGGGTCTGCATAGGGGTTAAAAGGCGGGCTCTAGGGCTATATTGCCTGAGTCACGTCCTAGCTAATAAAGGACAGAACATTGGGAAATTGCTTTACCTTTCTGTGGCTCCATATCCTCATCTGTAAAGTGGATAATAAAAATACCTAGGGCCAGCCCATGGCTCACTCAGGAGAGTGTGGTGCTGATAACACCAAGGCCACGGGTTCGGGTCCCATATAGGGATGGACAGTTAGCTCACTGGGTGAACGTGGTGCTGACAACACCAAGTCAAGGGTTAAGATCCCCTTACCGGTCATCTTTTTAAAATAAATAAATAAATAAAATAAATTAAAAAATAAAAACACCTACACTTTGTATGGCTATTGGGGAGATTAAATGGGTTAATATTTGACAATTACCTGGCAATTTTGCCCCCAAGTGTGGGTTAAAAAAGCGAACAATTAATCAGAATATCTGAGTGTGGGTCCCAGAAACTGCATTTTAATAAGAACTTCTGCTTTTAGGGATGTCAAGAGCTGCTCCCCTCATTTGGAGTCACGTCTCACCCATGGGCTTGAGTGTATGCACAGGGGTGGGAACCTCAGTTCCTAAACCTTGGCTATGGTGTGAACACAAGTTTCTCTGCATCCACCTGACCACCTGCAACTCAGGCAATGGCTTGGCCAAGTCTGACTGGTGCAACGATGCCCTCTAGAGGACGCACTAGGCTCAATCCTGCCTCAGAATCAGGGACCACAGCTCCTCTTCCCATCCAGCATTGGCTAGACTGTAGTATAGTCAGAGGCCCAGCTGACTATCGGAACGACTTTATTTAAGTACACTGGGCCCCAGCAGGCAACTTGGTTTGTGCGAGGCTGTGCGAGGGACAGGCTTGGGCAAAGAGAAGGGAGGTGAGCTGGTTAAGCGCACTGCAGTCCATGGGTCGCCACACTGCTTTCATACACACCTGCTGCTGAGGCCCACAATCTGGCAGGGGCCTTTGGTCATAGGACGGCATGGGGGACAATACTGCCTGGAATCTGGGACTGGGGTGGGTCTTGGTGTCAGGTGAGGGTGCCAGTGAAGACAAGCTAGCCCCAGCTTTGCACCATCTGGGCTGAAGGGCCTTTGGACCACTGCTAGGTGTAAGGCCTGAGCCCATCAGCTCCTGGCACTCTGGTCTGGCCTCTTCTCTCCCTAACCAAACAGGTCCAAAATAAAGAATGGCACCAGCTCAGCCCTGAGGGAGCCTTCCCACCTCTACAACCTAGTCCCCCTGAACAGCTAGAGTGGCAAAAGGCAACTTGGTTCATTGCAGCTTCCTCCAGTCCTAAGGGGACTGGATCTCCAACACCCCTCCTTTGCTAGTGGCCTCTGCCAAAGAGAAATTCTGTTTCCTGTTTCAGAAAATCCAACCAGCAACCAGCCTGTTGATTCCAGGGCCGTGAGCAACTGGAAGAGGAAGAAAGAAAGAGGCTGGTGGGAATGGCTTTGAGTGTGGCTTCCAATCCCAAAGGTCCTGAGGCTTATGGATACTGTCAGTTGACCATGAGCAGGGAGTGGTGGGGACCCTGGATGCTATGCTAAGCTTAGGTGCTGTAAACATTAGTGTGAGCAGGGTGACTGGTGGGCAGGAAGTGTGGAGCTCCCTCTCGCCAGTCCCCTTACTGAACAAATACTTCAATAAATAAAATTGAGGATGGCATTGAAGCAAGGATGGATGTAAAGCAAGTAACAGGACCTGACGCCAACAGGCTCCTTAAGCTTTCCCAAGACCCCCTGGACGGGGACTGGCTTGGAGCATTAACCCTGCAACCAATCAGAAGTAGTGCTACTCTCGCCCTCCTCAAATGCCCGGTGTGATCCTACTCCTGGTCCCCAGGTGAATGTGAGGGAATCCTTCTCTCTCCTGACCCTAGAGTCTCTGTAACAACTTCTGAAGTGCTTTCCCAGCCTCCCAAAACAAAACTGCAACAAAACCAGACAGAACTCAATCCCTGCCCCAATCCTCAGTCCATGGTCAAGAGGCATTGATAGCTGAATGACGAGCAAGGGGAGGCAGCAGCTGCTCTGGGCCACAGGGCACCCTGGGTTGAGAGTAGGGGTGGGATGGGGTGGGGGTAGAGCTGGGCCAGCCCAGGATGGACAGCAGCAAGGTCTCCCTATGGTAGTACACACAGTCCCACCCAGCCAGACAAAGGCCAGCTGAGGAAGCAGTGGGGCCTCTGCCAGTGCTCTTCCCTGTCACGGGCTACTTAGTGGTCAACCCCAAGCCTCAGGCCATCGCCATCGTGGGTAGTTCATTGTCCTTTCTGGGCCCAGGAATCCCTGGGCCATGCAGCACTCACATATGCACACACACTCTCACCCACGCACGCATTCACACACACAGGCAGTTCCTCGCAAATACTCCGACTTAAGAAAGCGAGTTTTAAAGTGGAGTTAACTTCAGAGAGAGGTGAAGATGATGTCCCAACATTAGAAGGTTTTCCTGTGGATGGATCGGGCACCGTCTTCCTCATATTCCTTCTTGGAGACCCACATCTTCTTAAAGGTGTCCAGGGAGGCAAGGATGGAGCCCCTGGAGTGAAGGGAATCCAAGGAACATTGTGAGGGGGAGGGGGGTTCCTGGAGCCAGCCAGTCCCCCTGGGGCCAAACCAGATGAGCCTTGTCTTTCCAGGGATGGGGTGGTGAGGGGTAATTAATGCATTCGCTTCCTGTTCTCTCATTCCCAAAATAGCTACTCACCCAATCCATGTGGAATATAGTCTCTCCTGAGGTGCAGATATCTGCAAAAGTGGGTGGAAAGAGGCACCTGAGTCTTCCATCTCTCCCTCTCCCTTTCCCTTCTAGCTTTGTTGTCACCCAAGGCAGTGGATGCAGTTCACACAACAGGTTTAAACTCTGTCCCTACTGGACCCTCTCTGGAGGGCATTGTTACCAGCCTGACACTCATCTGGAGAAGCACGTTTCCAGCAGTCCTAAGTATCTACAGCTCGCAGGGAAGTTGGGGCTATCTGGGGGCCAGATTCTGCCCTGCTGGTAGCAGGGGGGGCAGCAGGCTCCATGGCAGGAACCGCACGCCTTCATTTAGGATCCCTTCTCTCTTCAGGCAGCCAACTCCCTTCAGCAGTCACTAAGACGTCAGGCTGTGTTACTGGGGAGCCACCTGGATGGGGGCACAGCAGCAGTAAACATCAATTTCCTGTCAGCTTTAGTTTCCCTGAAAGATCACATGAAGGGCCCTCAGCCTAGTACCCTGCCACATCTGGGTATTGGAACTGCCCTCCTTTTCAGTGAAGAGAAAGAATGAGAATGGGTCCTCACTCTGGCAGACCCAGACCTCAGGGTCAGTATGTAATCTGGGAGCCACCCGATGCTGCCTGTAGTGCCCTGGCTGCCAAAGGGAGGCCACACCATGTGGCACTCCATGTCCTTGGAGGCCCAATTCCACTTAGGCTAGCCCCTACCATGCTCCTACCCTGATCTTCACGTCTTTTGGAGCGAGTTTCTTCACTTCACTCAGTAGCCTGTCACCAAAACCTGAATGGGCAGAGAAGGAGAACCCCAAGTCAATTCTCTGGGTGTCTAAGCCCATAGGATCTGGAAGCTTCCAGGGGAAGGGTCCCAACAGCAAAGACCAACCTTTGAACAGGGTGGAGCCTCCTGAGAGGACAATGTTGGAGAACAGTGTGCGTCGCAGGTCCATGTCAGACTTTTGGATGGCAAACACTAGGACCTCGTGGATGCCCTCGCTCTCCTCACCAATCAAGTCTGGCCTGAAGAGCAGCTCGGGGGCCCGGAATCGGGAAGGACCAATCTGCAAAGTGGAGGGTCAGCTTAAGAGGTTGGGGCTGGGACTGAGATCCCTTTGGGAGTGGGAATGGAGGAGGACCCCCTGTCCATCTCTTAGTAATGAGGTGGCTATGAAAGCCAGGCTCAAGACAAACCCTAAACATCAAGGGCCTCAAGGAACAAAGATAGGGCTCCTGGGAACAAATAGGGAATGCAAAGGAACAAATAGTCCTGGGAAACTAGCTCTGGCATTTTCCAGCTAAGTGATCTTTGGCATTAATACATGGATTCATTCATGCACAGAAATTTCTTCCTATCAATGAGAGTTCCAGGGAGCAGCAACTCACACTATACTGTGCCCAGGAGTGGTAAAGGGACAGCACTAACCATCCCACTTCCTAATCCCATCCTGACCTAGGAGAATCCCTCTGGAGACTCCTCCCCTCCATGAGGGAGGGAGCAAATTCTTTGCTGCTTCCTCTGCAGGAGACTGGGCCACTCATGCTGTTCAGGAGCTCCACCTGCTCTAGGCAGAGGGTGTAAAGGGACTGGCCTACCAGACTCTAGACCTTCATGGGGAGTTCTGTTTGGGCCCAGAGC